GTTAGTGTGTATCCGTGTTCTTCCTGTTGTGGGTAATACCACGAAACTATGAACAAATAATGGAATTAAATAGTGAAATGTAACCGGTAGCGAGTGATTGCAATAAACGTCCCTGACGTAGTGGTGAACAATAGTGCAATATTCTACAAAACACTCAAGCCTTCAGTCCAATCAAGACACCAATACAGGGGTTCTACTTTCCCTACCACAAACCAGGGAAAATTGGGTCAGTTACAATACCCAGGTAAGTCTAGCCATATCCACTCCTAGTTATATTAGCTACAGCTGATAGATAGGGGTGAGTTTTGACTGGATTTACCAACAGACCCCGTGACTGGCGGGCTTTTTGAGCCCAAAACAAGTGAGTACCTTTAAGCGTTTCAGATGTGAAATGTTGAAATATACGTTCCTTTGGGGCAAACTGGTATTTAATACTTGTCATTCTACAACTCAGGTGTAGGGATACCACGATTCACGCGATGGAAACTTCTTCAATGCGGCTGCAAGAGAAAACCATACCACTGGCGGGGTTAGAACCCGCGATCAGAGTCTCAATCGTGTCATTACGATTTCGTGAATTATGTTGGCTGCAAGAAGTCTGACTCATAATTGAAGCTAAGTATATTTTGTGTCAAAAAGTAGACATGACTGGTAATTTTCCCTATAAAGGTGGTGATATGTGGGAGTGAAGGTGTGGGAAAGAAGGTGATGTGCAAGAATGAAGGTGATGTGTGGGAGTAAAGGTGTGGGAGGAAAGGTGATTGTGAGAGAGAAAGTGATGTGGGAGGAAAGGTGATGAGTGGGAGGGAAGGTAAGATGTGGGAGGAACATGTAGTGTAGTGGGTGTGGGAGGAACGTGTAGTGTAGTGGGTGTGGGAGGAACGTGTAATGTAGTGGGTGTGGGAGGAACAAGTAGTGTAGTGGGTGGGGAGGAACGTGTAGTGTAATGGGTGTGGGAGGAACGTGTAGTGTAGTAGGTGTGGGAGGAACGTGTAGTGTAGTGGGTGTGGGAGGAACGTGTAGTGTAGTGGGTGTGGGAGGAACGTGTAGTGTAGTGGGTGTGGGAGGAACGTGTAGTGTAGTGGGTGTGGGAGGAACGTGTAGTGTAGTGGGTGTGGGAGGAACGTGTAGTGTATTGGGTGTGGGAGGAACGTGTAGTGTATTGGGTGTGGGAGGAACGTGTAGTGTAGTGGGTGTGGGAGGAACATGTAGTGTAGTGGGTGTGGGAGGAACGTGTAGTGCAGTGGGTTGTGGAGGAACGTGTAGTGTAGTGGGTGTGGGAGGAACGTGTAGTGTAGTGGGTGTGGGAGGAACATGTAGTGTAGTGGGTGTGGGAGGAACATGTAGTGTAGTGGGTGTGGGAGGAACGTGTAGTGTAGTGGGTGTGGGAGGAACGTGTAGTGTAGTGGGTGTGGGAGGAACATGTAGTGTAGTGGGTGTGGGAGGAACGTGTAGTGTAGTGGGTGTGGGAGGAACGTGTAGTGTAGTGGGAGTTGGATGTCAGAAGCAGTTTCCGCGTCTATTCTTAGCTGAGGTCCACGTGGCACTCTGAGTGTGGTGTGGGTGATGGCACTGTGTGTGGCGTGGGTGGTGGCACTGTGTGTGGTGTGGGTGGTGACACTCTGTGTGTGGTGTGGGTGATGACACGGTATGTGATGTGGGTGGTGGCACTCTGTGGGGGTGTGGGTAGTGGCACTGACAGAGGTAGTTAAGTATTAAGAGGTAGGTTAATGGGTGGGAGAAAGTGGGTGAAAATAGAAGAATGTTTGATCCTCACAGAGAAGGATCGTCACTTTGAACTTCATTCTAAGTATCTATAAAAACCACTGCCGCTCTTCCACGAGCATATATCTGCCTTCATAGCTTATCTGACTCATAATTCTACACTTCGTAATGTTTAAACATACAGTAATCTGCGCGAGGCTTCAACACAAGGTCGTGTCTGAACACTGCTGACTTAAGACTCGGTCTTATGATCCATCTGTTCTGTCTGGACAGATTTTGTGCTTAAGTGGAGCTCATTTAGAGCACAATGTACGAGTTTGTCTTGGAGCTAACTCTTGGCTATTTTTAACCTGTTCGGTGTATGGGACTCACCTTCTACACTGTCTGGTGTGGTCTTTTGAAGAGGTTTATTTCTATATGCTGAACAGGTTGTGGATTATTTATTCTTTGTCCACCTTCGTGAATTTGTGAATTCAAGCGTTTCTTAGAACTGAATGGATTTTATCTCTGATTTTTGTGTGGTTAGTTACAGATATTTCCAGGGTTATAGATGTTTCCAGGTTACCCACCCATAGTTGCATTGATGTCTGGGGAAAAGTTCTGGACATTTTAAAAGTTGAACATCAAAATGGTATACAATACCGACAGGTTGTTAGGTAAGACACATATGCAACAGTTAGACAACTTTATTCCGAAACGTTTCGCCTACACAGTAGGCTTCTTCAGTCGAATACAGAAAGTAGGAAGGAACAGTAGAGATGTGAAGACGATGTAATCAGTCCATCACCCTTGTAGTCGTAGAATTTGAGGTTGTGAGTCCCTCGGCCTGGAGAAGTTCAGTTCCACAGTCAGGAACTATCAAATTCTACGACTACAAGGGTGATGGACTGATTACATCGTCTTCACATCTCTACTGTTCCTGCCTACTTTCTGTATTCGACTGAAGAAGCCTACTGTGTAGGCGAAACGTTTCGGAATAAAGTTGTCTAACTGTTGCATATGTGTCTTACCTAACAATTTTAAAAGTTGCAGAACGACGCACAGAGACCTGGTCGCTGGATTAACACCGCAGTTCTCTGAAATTACTTCATTAAGCTCAGGTAGACTCGCTGCGTATGAATAGTATTACAATACCGACAAGATGAAGAATTAAACACATGTGCAACATCTGGGTATCTTCATTTGTAGACGTTTCGCCCTCCAGTGGTCTTATAAATACAAATTAATATCTGAGCTTCAAGACTACGGTGGTCTTCACCAACTCCAAAGTTGAGGGACTAATTATCTCGTCTTTTGTAAATAGTTCTACAGTCTTCCGATTATATCTTCGAATTCGTACTGATGAAGCCACTTCGATGTTCACACGTCTAATTATTCACCTGGTAAACACTCACAAACACTTGTCCTAAAGACTTCCAAATCTTTTAAATTTTTCTGAACCAGCGACAACTTTTCCAAAATATTCATAGAATCCACAACTCAATCTCCACATTAGTCACGTTCACAACAGCGACATTTTCCTGCACCATGAAAAAATCTCCCCATTCCAAATCACTATTTGCTCTTTTACCCCGGGGTAACTTTTACCCCGGGGTAACTTTATTAGATCGCAGTCTAAGACTCATCTTGAAGTCAAGGAAAATATTGATGATCTAGTCACGAGATTTCCTTCATCGAAGCTTAGCAGTTGATGACTACCTCTGCCAACAGACCAGTGAAGATGGTAGTCACGATGGCAGTCACGATGGTAGTCATGATGGTAGTCACGATGGCAGTCACGATGGTAGTCACGATGGCAGTCACGATGGTAGTCACGATGGTAGTCACGATGGCAGTCACGATGGCAGTCACGATGGTAGTCACGATGGCAGTCATGATGGTAGTCACGATGTGTCATACTAGAGAGAAGTATCTCCTGTATCGCACAACCCCAGCCCCCACTACCTTAGCCCACAGGAGGCCCAGCAGCTGTACCTCAGACTCCTCACTAGGCAGAGGAGCTGCAGCTCAACGCCCTCAACATATTTAAGATTTATAAGGAGTTCTATGAGCTGGACCAGCTCAAGAAAGGCTCGGGAGCTGTATATCAACACTCTAAGGAGATCCAAGAGCTTGTGTCCGGTCAAGCAATTTAAGATAAATTAACTGGGTGAAGTTATAATAATAATAATAATAATAATAATAATAATAATAATAATAATAATAATAATAATAATAATAATAATAATTTTTATTTCTACAAGTACGTGATACAACTATAACAGACCACAGCAGACATCACCGGCACACTATACAGAAAGTCCCTGGTTATGTAGAGCATTTCTGGCAGGTTAGGTTAATTTTGTCCCCATGATGCGATCCACACCAGTCAACTAATACCCAGGTACCTACTTACTGCTAGGTGAACAGGGGCAGCAGTAGGTGTAAGGTGACTAATACCTAGGTATCTACTTACTGCTAGGTGAACAGGGGCAGTAGTAGGTGTAAGGTGACTAATACCTAGGTATCTACTTACTGCTAGGTGAACAGGGGCAGCAGTAGGTGTAAGGTGGCTAATACCTAGGTACCTACTTACTGCTAGGTGAACAGGGGCAGCAGTAGGTGTAAGGTGGCTAATACCTAGGTACCTACTTACTGCTAGGTGAACAGGGGCAGCAGTAGGTGTAAGGTGGCTAATACCTAGGTACCTACTTACTGCTAGGTGAGGAGTTGCAGCAGCAGGTAACAACATGCCCAGTGTTTCACCCGTGCCGGGGATCTATCCTGGAGTTACAGTCATCAGTACCGAGATAGATGTACGGGGACGGGGGTTCGATCGCCCCTTTTTTTCACTGCAACCAGCAGACTGATCGTAATGAAACGAACACCAGTCACTCTGCTATGCCACGGGAAAATGTAGACCACAGAACTACCAATAAATATTTGACTAACAGGATTTTTTAAATTGTTTCTTTTAGGTTTCAAATCAAAATTATTACCTAAACGGCTAAAGGATGTTGAATTATTAAAGTTTACCTAGTTTTTCAACTTCATTAAATTTCCCCGGTGTTCCTGAAGTGTAAGTTGTTGCCAGACTTTATAAATAATAGTCGGCCTCTGAATATTTAATTATTTTGCAAAGACACGCAAGCGTTCATTGTTATATTAATTTTTAAAGGGGTGGGTAGGTAAGCCCGCGTAAGGCCTCAGTCACAGTGATTTTATTCTGTCGTATGAAGCCGTCTTGTTTCTAGCCAAGGACAAACCTCACTCCAGAGAGAGAAAGAGTGACATACCTGGGACGAGGACGTCAGCGATTTTGAGTACCTGGCGACACAGCTCCTCCTTCCTGGCCAGGTGTATAGGGGAAAGATCGTCCAACTCGTACCCATCCTCACTCCCGTAGAGGTGAAGCAGCGCGTACTTGATCTGTAACACCAAGACACAGTCTTATGTTAGAGAGAGAGAGAGAGAGAGAGAGAGAGAGAGCATTTACTCCTAGGATGACTCGTGTTTGGAACAGGTTCATATAGCATTACATCAAAATAAATTTGTTTATGTCATGCGATAAGAACATGATAATTTGTTTTTTTTTTTGATGTCATGTTGATGTCAGTTGACCAAAAGAAATCGTTGGCCCACAGATGGCTTCAAGTTCATCCTGTTCCCTGTTTGTATGTCTCTTAACAATAAAAAGACTCTCAAATGAGCTGATGTAGGCAACAGCTCTTATTATTATTATTATTATTATTATTATTATTATTATTATTATTATTATTATTATTATCAAAAAGAAGCACTAAACCACAAGGGCTATACAGCGCTGCAGGGCAGGAAGGAAGCGAGGGCATCAGGTGGCAAAAGGGAGATGGATGAGTAATAGGTTACGGAGAACAGCGGGGCAGTGGATGGTGGAAGGGTAGAGGGCAGCAAGAGATTGAGCTAGAAAGGGCTGAGGGGAGTGCGAAAAGTATCATCATCAGAGTTTGTGGAGTAAATCAGTTTTTGTCAAGAAGTCAATGAGAGAGTCAAGATTAAAGGAGGGTCCATCAGCGAGAAGGGAAGGTAAAGAGAGAGTAGTAGAGCAGAGACGACGTTGGAGGTAAATTCTGCGTGCTCGTTGATAGAGAGGGCAGTCTAACAGAGTGTGGCTAATCGATACTGGAACTTGACACTGCTCACAGAGAGGAACAGGGTGCCTCTCCATGAGATACCCATGAGTAAGGCGAGTGTGGCCAATGCGAAGGCAGGAGAGAGTAGTTTCCCAACCTCGGCACTGATGACAAGAAGACGGCCAGTAACCTATGCTCAGTTTAATAGAATGAAGTTTGTTACCGAGTAGAGTTGACCAATGTTGTTGCTAATGGGTGTGAAGATGGGCAGCTATTACAGCAAAACAGTCCGGAAATGGAACACCTCTATATGAAATTGGTAGGTCATGTACTGCTGACCACACAGCAGTGTCTGCCTGTTCATTGCCCTGTACGTCAACATGACCAGGGACCCAGCAAAAAACTATATCTTTATGCTTGGTAGAGATACGGCATAGCCAAAGTTGGATACGGAGAACTAGGGGGGTGAGGTGTATCAAATTTCCGTATAGCCTGTAGAGCACTAAGGGAGTCTGAGACAACCACAAATGATGACACAGGCATAAATGCGATACGAATAAGTGCTACAAGAATGGCATACAATTCAACAGCAAAAATGCTAGCCGAAGATAGTAAATGCCCTTGCATGACGCTGTCCGGAAACATTGCTGCGAATCTGATGCTGTCAGAAGACTTAGAGCCATCTGTGTACACTGCGATGGCATGAGAATGAGAGCAGAAGTGGTCAAGAAAAAGAGAGCGGGAAGCCACCATAGGCAATTGGGCTTACGAGCAAGGGAGTGAGAAAGAACAGACCTGAACAGCTGGAACTTCCCAGGGGGGTAGGGAGAAGTGAGATGCTACATGAACGTATAAAGGTGGCAACTGAAGGGAAGACAAGAGCGAATGTAGGTGAAGAGAGAAGGGATGGAGCAAACAGGGGCGGCAAACAAATAAAGAATGTCTATTAATATCAGTGACCATTCTATAAATGGAAGGATTGCAGAGATCGTGAGAGTGTACATAGTAGCGAAGGCAATGGGCATCACAGCGATCAGACAAGGATGGAACATTCGCTTCTGCATAGAGGTTCTCAGCGGGGGAAGAGCGAAAAGCACCAAGGCAAAATGTAATCCTTGGTGATGGATGGGGTTATGGCTAGAGAGAGTAGCAGGAGAGGCCGCTGAATAGATCTGGTCACCATAATCGAGTTTCGATAAAATGAGGGCTGAATGTAGGCAAAGGAGAGTTCGACGATCAGCTCCCCATGAAAGATGAGCAAGGGTTTTAAGAAGGTTCAGCCAGCTGTGACAAGTTGCCTTCAGAGAGGTAATGTGGGGTTTCCAGGATAACCTATGGTCAAAGAGAAGGCCTAGAAACCTGACTGTATCACTTTCAGGGATACGGGAGCCATAGAGGTACAAAGGATGATCAGAGATGACAGAGCATCTAGTGAAAGTAATTTGGTGAGTTTTGGTACTGGAAAATTTAAACCCATGCATGGTGACCCAATTGGAAACACGGTCGACTGCATGCTGGAGAGAAACTGTAATGAGGTGTCAGTCAGCGCCTGCACATGCAATAGCGAAGTCATCTTCATAGAGTGATGACCAAATATTGGATGGAAGAACAGAGGCCAAATCATTTATAGCAAGGAGAAAAAGTATTGTGCTCAGAACACATCCCTGAGGGACACCTTCAGCTTGGACAAAGTCTGGGGAGAGCACATTATTGACTTGAACACGGAAATGTCCGTCAGTTAAAAAGTTCTTAAGGAAAGATGGTAGATTGCCTCGGAGGCCTAAGGAGTGGGCTTGGGCCAAAATATTATACCTCCAAGTTGTGTCATGTGCCTTCTCAAGGTCAAAAAATATAGCAATAACTGAGTGGTTATTCGCAAAGGCATTACGAACATACGTATCCAAGCGTAGTAATGGTTCTATGGTAGAACGGCCCTTACGAAAGCCATATTGATGAGTGGAGAGACTGTTGTGTGTCTCTAAATACCACATTAAACGTCTATTTACCAGACATTCCATCACTTTGCAAACTGCACTGGTAAGAGCGATGGGACGATAGTGGGAGGCTTCATGTCCCGTAGTACCCGGTTTGCGGAAAAGGAGAACAATGGCAGATTTCCACAGCTGTGGAAGAACTCCTTGTGACCAAATAAGATTGAAAAGGCGTAAGAGGACTGCAAGGGCTGACTGATGTAAATGTTGTAACATACGAATATGAATGTCGTCGGGCCCAGCTGTTGATGATCTGCAAGCTAAGAGTGTTGCCTCCAGTTCCTGAAGTGTAAAAGGCACATTATACTGTCCTTCTCTGAGAGAAGAAAAGTCCAAGGGTGCTAACTCTCTGGCAGACTTTGAGGAAAGAAACGAGGGGCATAGATGGAGCCCCAGAGAAATACTGACCAGATAATTGCCAATTTCATTGGCAACATCTAGAGGGTTCGCTATATCAACACCAGCAACCCGCAGAACAGGAGCCCAGTCAGGAGAATATTTACCATTCAGTTTCTGTACTTTTTTCCAGACTGCACTCATAGAGGAAGCAGAGGTGATGGTGGAGACATAATCTCGCCAGCAAGTGCGTTTAGCGTCACGGATGACACGGCGAGCGAATGCACGCTTCTGCTTAAAATCAAGAAGTCTCTCTGTGGTTCTATTGTACTGGTACCTCTCCCATGCAGCGCATTTCAAAAGTACTGCGTGGGGTGGGAAGCAAGAAAAGTCTCTAACTGAATGCCATGGGAATCACAGTGAGACCCCCCCAGAGGAAATGATGGGCATTAAAATCGCCAAGTAATAGAAGTGGTGGAAGTAATGCTGAAACAAGAAAGGCTATATCCGGGATAGATAATGCCCGAGAAGGAGAGAGATACAAAGAACAGAGTGTATACCACCTATGCAAGTGGATACAGGCTGCTGTGTAATGCAGTGAAGTACAAACAAATAGCTGATAGTATGGAATATCAGTGCATAGAAGAAGGGCACTTTCATTAAAGGTCCCATCAGGAAAAGGATCCGAAGAATACAATAAATTGTAGCCTGAGATGGGATAGATAACAGCAGAGTGTAATTTTGGTTCCTGTAAGCAAACACCAACAGGGGAAAACTGGGAGAGCAACATCTGAAGCTCACCCCGATTACCCCTGAGGCTGCGTATATTCCACTGTAAATAGGCCATGATTGGCAACGATAAAGATACTAGAAATCCACAGGTAAGGGTACCTACTGACTAGAGGGGTTAGAAAAGTCCACATGCAGTGGCAATGGAAAACGTTCAAGCAGCAAAGGAACAGTGCGCTGTGAAGAAAAGAGTTGTGCAGATGGAGAAAAGGATAGAGAAGGAACAGAGGGTGGATCAGTGTCAATTGATGGTTTGGTCTCTGAAATATATTCAGAGATTGCTTCAAGTGTTTCGGAGTTCAGAGACGTCATATGGGAGACAATATTGGAGATGGAAGGAGGAGGAGTTTGAGTAAAGATTGGAACTGTAATGGACTGTACCAAGGTAGGGGGGGGGGGGCGAAAGGGTGGAGGGAACTGGAGAAGTGTGGGAGGGGACAGAAGAGGCAGAAACCTGGGAGGTGGCAGAAGAGGAAGAAACTTGGGAGGGGATAGGGGAGGAAGGCACAGTACAAGGAGGAGGATGAACCTCCACACTTGTAACAGAACCAGTGAAAGGGGAAGACCCAGGTATAGAGACCGGGAAGGTAAAATGTGGAGGTGGATGAAGGGAAGGAGGGGTTAAAGGAGATTTTTTGGACTTCTGAGAAATAGAGAGACGATTGGGAGGAGGTGTCATACGAGGTCTTGTCGATACCGGGGCCTGTGAGGGAGAACACGAAGAAATGAGAACAGACTGAGGTGTTGAAGTAGGGACGTCTGAGCCCAGGACAGCAAAAGAATTAGATTCAGGAGTGACTATGGGACTGGCAACTGCAGAGGAGGCTGCAGAAGATGGGACCCCAGAAGTGGGGGAACTTTTGAAACACGAGAATAAGAAACACGGGGTAGTCTCCCTTGGAGGCAGAGATGAGAAACTGCCATAGCATAAGGGAGACCTTCTGCCTCTTTGAGGCAACAAATTTCCCGCTCATTTAAGTAGACCTGGCAACAGCGAGAGTACGAAGAGTGAGCCTCATGACAATTAAGGCAAGAGAGAGGTCGACTGCAAAATGTATTAGAATGGTCATCGGCACCACAGACTGGGCATTCGGCTATAGATCTGCAATATTTTGCTGGGTGGCCAAATCGCCAGCAATTTCTACACTGTTGTGGTGTAGGGATCGCCATTTGAACTTGTAACCGATGTCTTGCTACATAA